CCCTCACTTCCCAGTGCCAATCACAGGGTTAACAATAACATAATCATACTCTAATTAACATTAATCAACTATTAAAATAACATATCTGTAACCTCCTTTAACTCTCTTTTAAACAGTACAATTATTAAAAACAATAATAATAACACTTTAATAATTAAAAATAATACTAAATAAAATATTCTAACCTTTATACAACCATTATATTCCAAAATTTACTCAAAAACCAAATGATATTTTTTAGTCCCATATTTACACTCAATATAATCTATCCATCTTCTCCAAACCAAAATATATCTTTCTTGTGAGTGATCCTTCACATAAGCAGAAATAAATTGATAACCTTGATGTCTAAATTGATTATATGCAGGACTATTTCTCAGCAGGAGTATAGTCATTTGAGAAGATTCCTGTTACTACTCTGGATTTTGTGAGCTTCAGTGCATGATGAATATGTGCCTGACTCTTTAAAATAATTAGTATAATGCAACAAAGAGAGAGCTAGGTTAGTGCATATTAATCTGCACACTCATATTAAATTATCTCATATACCGTATTTTCCGGCGTATAAGACAACTTTCTAAACCCTGAAAATCTTCTCAAAAGTCGGGGGTTGTCTTATACGCCCAGTCGTCTTATACGCTGGAAAATACGGTATCCCATTTCAGACAAATGGCTGTCCATTCTCTTTTTAAAAATCTCCAGTGATGAAGCACCCACAACTTCTGAAGGCAAGCCTTTCCACTGGTTAATTGTTCTCACTGTTAGGAAGTTCACCGAATAGTAGTTGTTGTTTTTTTTAATTGAGGGAGGACTAGAATCTGACTCTTTCTGCTTTTAGTCACCCTTAGTGATTAACATACCCCATTTCGATCCAGTTACCTACAACCCAGAACAGGCTATAAAATCGGACCGCCCGGCCATCCTCTCTATGATTTTGGCTTTGCAGAGGGGCTAAACTCAAAACTCTATTACTATTTTTGCTGGTCAGCTGGGGGGGAGGCGGGGAGAGAGAGAGAGAGTAAGACGCCGGAAGTGACGTTTCGCGGTATCGCCGAGCGGAAACGGATTGCGGAGGCTGTCAGACGCGGAGCTCAGGAAGGCTCTTGTCCGTCCGGGAGTTAGAGTAACGGGAGGAGGTCGTAGAGGTAGCATGACCAAGGGAGGGACCACCGCCACCACCGCCAGCATGGCCATGTCCGAGACTCAGCTGAAGAAAATGCTTGCTAAGGTAAACCACCAGCCTGCTCCTGAACCGTCTTTCTCAAAGCAGCCTTGAGTCGGCTCAGCCCAGTCGCCCCCTTTGAAGGCCCGGTTTCTCTGCTGTAGAGCAAAAGCGTCCTCCCTTTGGAGACAGGAGATCCTTCCCAGGCGTTAGCCTTTCACTTTTTTCTCACTAACTGATAGTGCTTGCCGCTTCCTTGTCAGAGACCAGCTTTTGCACCAACAAATAAAAAGTGACTAAACTGGGCCCTTACCTATTCCAACACGAATAGCCACTGGCCTTTCTCTGCAACCCTTTGCTTGGTTTGTCTTTTCCAAGTTTTCAGTTAGTCTCCCCTTGTTTTGTTTCCCTTTTTTTCCAGAACTTATTTTCGATTATTTGTTGGAAATTTGCTGCATAGTAGGGCTTAACTTAAATACAAGAAAGTAAAAATAAACTTTTTAAAGAACTTTTCATGCATTTGAAAGGTGAATTTGGTGTAAGAAGTGGTGCTTTTAGGCTTCTCTAACACTTTAATAAATACCTTTTTTAATATCTGAGGGTTTCCCTCTGTTTTGATTTTCTGCCTTTTATGTGCACTCCCTATCACCTGGATTTGGTAGCATATAAAAATCCTTATATGCCACTTTGATATAGGTTGAGAAGAGCAAATGACAATGCGTGCAAATGGCATCATCATGTGAATGCTGCAACTCAATGAATGTTGTCGTTTTGGCATCATCTTGATTTGTTGTGGATGCTGCATCTTGAAGGGTTGGGAGAGAAATGTATCTAATGTGATTGTTACATATTGTATGTAGACAATGTTTATCAATATTTTATAAAGGTTGTGGATGTTTTTGTAAACCACAAGGTAACAATATGGGTGTGTTTGCATACACATACTTATTTAATTCTGCTTGATCCACAAATATAAGTTTAAGTGGTTTTAATATTGAGTGATATTGAGAAAACAGACTGACAGTTTTACTAGGAAATGGTACCCGTATTTTCCAGCGTATAAGACGACTTTCTAAACCAGTGGTTCTCAACCTTTTTAATGCCGCGACCCCAACCGGTCGTAAGTCGAGGACTAAACCGGTCGTAAGTTGAGGACTAAACCGGTCGTAAGTCGAGGACTAAACCGGTCGTAAGTCGAGGATTACCCAACCGGTTGTAAGTCGAGGACTTTCCCTGCCCGGGAGCACCACGCATGCGTGGTTCCGCCCCCTGCGCCGGCCGAGGCGTAGCTGGCAAGCAGCAGAGACGGAGCAGGCCGACCACCAGCTGGCCCAGCTCAAGGGAGGTAAGGCACCCACTGGAAAAGGGGGAAAAAATGGCAGACAAAAAAATGGCGGACAGAAAAATGGCGGACAGCCTTGCTTGGTGACCCCCATGAAATGGTCGATTGACCCCAAATGGGGTCCCGACCCACAGGTTGAGAACCACTGTTCTAAACCCTGAAAATCTTCTCAAAAGTTGGGGGTCGTCTTATACGCCCAATCGTCTTATACGCCGGAAAATACGGTACTCTAAGCATAAAACCACAATGCCTTTATCCTAATTTCCCAGTAAAACATGAAATATATACATGAATAAAAGATTATGTTAAAAGCTTACAGTAATTTCGTATGGTGCTTCAAGATCTGGAGAAATGTTATTTTGGAACTGGGCAATGCCTAAAATAAATGACTTAAATTAGTTGAATTTAGTTCAATGTTCTTTTCAGCATGGACACAAGGAGACCCTCGTAAGGTGATTTATCCAACAGATAGCCGTGGTCAGTTCTGTGGCCAAAAGGGCACACCCAATGAGTAAGTATTAAGGAGAAATTCTCTACTTTTCTGCATGAAGTCTGTGCCAAGAGATTGGTGAATCTGAAAGGGTTCCAGTAGGTTTTGAGCAGGGGTTCCGAATCAGGGGTGCTTGCACCCCCTGGGACGTGAGACAATATTCCAGGGGGTGAGAAAACTTGGTTTTTCAAAATTATAGTGTATATGCATAATTCATTGCCATTATTTTGTACTTTTGTAAGGGGTGCGAGAATATATTAGAAGCTTTCTAGGGATGCGGGGTATAAAAAAGGTTGGGAGCCCTGGTTTTGAGGATCTCATCTGTTGAAGCTCATTACTCTAAAACAGTAAAATGATTGAGATTGACGTTATCCCTTTCTGATATGTGACTTGGTTGCCAGGTTCCAGGGGTGTTGGAATAGGATGATTCTCTGAATTTGAACCATCACGGCTAAACAAATTGAACCAAACAAAGGCTAAAATGTATTTGAAGCCCCCACTTAATGTTGATTATATTTTAGCATTTTCACTGTAACTTTGCATTAGTCATCTGGGGGGGGGGAGTGAATGTTTTATGAAGACTTCATTATAGCATATTATAATTATTTTTTGTAAAACAGTTTGCCAAATTGCTCATATCCATATGGACCTGGATGCCACAATTGATACAGAACCAATTAATACAACTCTGGCCCATGCTGATTTTTACAGCCTGGAAATATAAGTAGTGTAGGAGATAACCAGGCTGAGCCTGAGGTAGGAGTCAAATGCGTCATCAGTCATAAATCCGTTTGCACCCACAAGAAATTTAAGTCCAGCCCACCTTAAATTCCTTTTATTCTTAACTCCCACTAATTTCCCTTGACTATTAGTAGTTCAGATTCTTGTAGACAGCTTAAGCTTTCAATAAATCTTTATACACATTTGAACTGCCTGGATCTCCTGATTTCCCTGGTGCTTGACATTAATCTGAATTACTCCCTTCACCAAAAATTTTCACTGACTCTGGAACACCCAAGCCATGGCTTCAGATCCCAGAGCTGCAGCAATTGCGGATGAGTCAGACTTCCGCTCAATCAGCAAATGCCAAGATGGCATTGAAGATGAAATCAGAAATCTTGCAGCCAATTTTCAACAAATGATGCAACAAATGTAGATCCTGACTCAACAAGAAATTCCTCCACAACCACAACTACCTGCTCCATCTACCCAGGCACAACTGCCAGTTCCTGCTGCGCTCATCCCTAAGACCCCCAGCTGCCTACCACAGAGATTCACTGGTGAGTCTGATAAGATGAGTACATTCCTAGCCCAGTGTGAAATGTTCATTGGCACCTAACTGGGAGAGTTTCCAACAGACAGATCGAGAGTCTCCTTTATCCTTAGTCTTTTAACTCAGAGTTCCCCAATCTTCTGGCTTTGTGGAGCTGTGTTCGGAACCGGATCACAGAAATGATGGACGAGCATTCACACGCACATATCCCCACATGCACAAGTGGCGTGTGCATATGCCTGCCACTTGAGGAAATGGGGATGCATGCTTACACATGCTCGCCCACCACTTCTGCAGCTCGATTCTGAACGGCTCATGGCCTAGTAGTGGGCCATGGCCTGGGGACCCCTGTTTTAACAGACTCTGCTGCCAACTGGATGTTTCCACTTATTAAAACCAATGACCCCATCCTGGATAATTTCCCAAACTTCCTCACTAGGTTTAGAGAGCACTTTGGAGACCCTGTTCGGATAAAAACAGCTGAGCAGTGCATCTACCAATTATGCCAGGCAACAACTCTGTGAGAGCATATTTTGAAGATTTCAACCTCATTGCAGCAGATCTGGATTGGAATGAGCCAGTTTTAAGAGCACAATTCAAGAAGAGACGCAATAAGGCTATAATCATACAACTGATACAGGTATTTCCCACGGTCTACAAGACCTCTATCTAGCTGCTATAACAGCTGAGTCATGACTCGCTGAACAGAGCATTTTTCAGCAGCCCCGACAGCTGCTTCCAAAGCTACCTCCTCCTGTCACTACCCCAAGCCTCCCTGCCCTTGGATTTGGACACTGAAGAACCGATACAAATCAGAGCAGCCAGACAAGCCCTGGGAGCAGAAGAACGGCAAAGGCACAGAGAGCTCGCCCTTTGTTTCTATTGCAGAGAGCCTAGCCACATGGTCAAGAATTGCCCTACTAAAACCTCCCAGAAGAGGCAACAGGCAGCCCAGCAGTGTCTCCATTACTCACCACCTGGACAATAAATCCAAGGCCATGGAAATGAGAAATGCCCCCCTCTCCCCAAGCCCACAAGTGCTTGGGCCACCCAAGCACTGAACAGGGCTCAATTACTTCCATGTTCAGGTACATTAATAAAATTTGATTCTATCCTTACATTTCCCAGTGGTCAGGAAACCACCATCCCTGTTTTGATAGATTCTGGGGCAACCTCAAACTTCATAAGTCCAGAAACCTAAGATCCTCACAGTTTCCCTGAAGTCTCCATTGCCAGTTATAATTACTGATGGCTGAATTTTAAAAGCAGGACCCATTACTCACCACCACAGTGCTTTTGAAAGCATCCTGAAGAGTTCTTTCCATAGCTGATCACATCGATCTTCCACTAGTGCTGGGAATCATTTGGTTATAACACCACAATCCCATTGTTAAGTAGAAAAACTGGTCTACTGCCTTTGATAGTCCTGAATGCCTTTCCCACTGCGATTGGCCTTCCAAACCCTCCCACCAGCACCCCTTGAAGATTAACAGAGACTTTCAATGTGACAAGTAAATATGCAGACTTCGCTGATGTTTTTGGAGAGGAGGAAACCTCGGCCCTGCTCCCCCACATAGAGACTGTGATTGCACCATAAATCTGATCCCTGGTACCAAGATTCCTGCCAAGAGACAATTCCAAATGTCTACTAAAGAATTAGAAACTAAAACAATATTTGGACTCTAATTTGCAAAACGGATTCATTAGATCCTCCTAGTCCTCTGCTTCAGCTCCTCCCTTCTTTGTGCACAAGAAACCAGACCCAAGTGGGCCTAACAGTGGGAACCTCCCACTGAGAGTGGTCTATAAACACAAGGTCTTGAATTCAGTCCCAGTAAGAGACCACTATCCATTGTTGTTAATTCCAGACCTATTAGACTATAGAAAGCAAGCATTTTTACAAGACTGGACCTCCACAATGCTTACAACCTCATTAGGATCAAAAAAGGCCATGACTACTTAACTGCCTTTGACACCAGATATGGCAAATTTGAATACACAGTCCTACTACGTGGCCTCTGTAAAGCTGGGTCCATAGTTTCCAGATTCATAAATCAAATCTTTGCAGATTTAATTGATACATTTGTGGTTATTTGGCATTTTAATCGAGTCTGAGAACAAGGATCAGCACACAGACGATGTGGGCACAGTCTTCCATAGACTAAGAGATAACAATCTCTTTGCCAAGCCAGAAAAATGTGCAATAACTAGACTTCCTGGGTTACCGTATTTCCACAAAAGGCATCTAGATGGACACCCAAGCTGTCCTAGACTGGCAAGTCCCTCACACAGCCAAAGGCACCCTATGATTCCTAGACTTTGCTAACTTCTACAGAAAATTTATACCAGTCTTTGCTCATAAAGCCAAGCCACTGACCCAACTGTCTAAGAAAGGAGATAAATTTGCACCTTGTATTCTGTTCTCCCTCTACTATAACTCACTTTTCCATCCACCCCCTTGCTACTGAAAGAGATGGTAGAGATCAATGAAGAGACTGCAGCAGGAAAAATAATACTTCCCCCTTGCAGCCTAAATTTCAGGGCAATTTCGTAAAATAGTTGGGTTTTGGGCTTTGCTCTTTTTGTAGGATAATTGCATTAGAATAGAATAGAATAGAATAGAATAGAATAGAATAGAATAGAATAGAATAGAATAGAATAGAACAGAACATGGAATTCTAGTCCAGACCCCTGCTCAACCAGGAGAACCTATACCATTTAAGACAAGTGGCTGTCTAGTGACTCTAGTCTCTTCTTAAAAATCTCCAGTGATGGAGCATCCACGATTTCTGAAGGTAAGCTGTTCCACTGGTTAATTGTCCTCACTGTTAGGAAGTTTCTCCTTAGTTCCAGGTTGTTTCTCTCTTTGATCAATTTCTAATGATTGTTTCTTGTTCTGCCTTCTGGTGCGTGGAGAATAATTTGACCCCTTGTTCTTTGTGGCAGCCCCTCAAATACTGGAACACCACTCTCATGTCACTCCTGTTTCTTTTTTTCTTTAGACTAGCCAAACCCAAGTCCTGCAGCCATTCTTCATATGTTTTAGTCTCCAGGCATTTGATCATCTTAGTTACTCTTCTCTGAATTTTTTCCAAAGTCTCAACATCTTTTTGTAGTATGGTGACCAAAATTGGTTGCATTAAGCCTCTACATCAAAGTTCATACAGAATCGCATGAAGATAGGTCTATGCCTCTCATTTTGAAGATATACTTCATTTATAGCTTGCTTTTTCATTCATGCAAGCAGACAAGGAGGTTTATGACAAGAACATAAACTACAACATTGGTAATAATCATACAATTAAAAGAAATACATTATCATTCAAATCCATTAACAGGATTAGCCCTGGTAAAAGCAAGGAAAATGCTTGATACCAACTTGATTGTAATTCATTTAGAAGTGATATCCAGTCTTTCCCAAAGGATTGGAAGAGATATCTTCCATATTTTTTGAAGCTTTGTGTATCATATGGCATCACCTATTGATAGGAACAAATAGAAGAACAGTTGTTTGTAATATTTTGTTCTGTTTCCAGGCAGAAGCCTTACTTGTTCTACTTCAACATCATGAAATGTGCTAGCCCTTTGGTGTTGCTGGAATTTCAGTGTCCTACTACACAGGTGAGGTTTTCTCTGGATTTCATCCTTAAATGTTTTCTCCAGGAATATCAAACTAGAAGAGTGTTGTGCCCCTTTGTTTGGACTGGATTCATGAACAAGCAAATATATAGAATTCGATATTGCTCTTTGATTTTTGGAATATGTCTTGGAGGTGTAGCATCAATCTTGCCTGGGCTGAGAAGCTAAGCTGAATTGGGCCTGGTTAATACTTAGATGGAAGATCACCAGAGAATATCAGAGTTGTAGGCTATTCTGGTGTGAGGAAACATAGTAGTTACAATATCCTCCAGGCTGTAGGAATAACTGGTGCTTATTGGTGAGAAAAGCACGTTTGGCTTTGCTTCAAGTAGCTTCATAAAAATTCAGAAGCTGGGATTTGCTGTCACAGAGCTTCTTGTCCAATAGCTTATCAGACTTTCAATTTATTAAAATTTTGTTTGTTGTTTTGTTAGATTTCCTCCAAAAACAAAAATATTATTCCCTCAACTGTACTCCATAGCAACAACTTTGTGGGATAGCTTAATCTGAGGGAGTCAGATCAGTTATCAAGGTAATGATCAGACAAATGTGGCTTGAGCCCATTCCAAGAAACAGACTTAAGCAAAAGCCTCAGGCAGGCCTCTCCCTAATTCACACAGAAATAAAGTGAAGGAGGAGGAAAGCATATTCAGATTTGGAAGATAGCTGTTTTATTAAGAGTATTTTTAAATCCACATGGCATCTGTTTCTTAATTTGGTCTACCTTATAAGGCTGACAGACAGACTGGTCCAAATTCATGTCCTAAACTTTCATTGATGAGTGTGTACTTGAATTTTGCAGTCTTAATCCAATATTTTAATCTATATACCACACATCAAAGCAGGATATTTTTGCATGTATTTGAAGAACATTCTTTTGATTTTATCACAGTCGAATTTTACTATTAAATTCCAAAATTAGTTAGATTGGACTGGACATTCGAGACTAAACTCTACATGGAAAACTTATTTATAGCAAACATTTCTAAGTATAAAGTAATAAATTTAGAATTAGAGTTTTCTCTTGCTCCACCATCTTTACTAGCTCTCTGTATGGTAAATTAAATTCCAGGTACCTGGCATGAAGAAAAAGCTAAGACCTTGACATCAGGATTTCAGTGGAGATCTTCAGTCATCCCAGTCATGGTTGTCCCAAAGGTGCTTTTTCAGGAGGCAATTGGACTTTCTCATCCAAGAAGCTTCTTCAGCTCTAACTGGATGGTATGGAATGGAAGGATTTATATTCCTTGCAGACAGCTGGTCATTTGCATTCTTTTAGAGAGTCGTTGAGGCCGTTTGAGTATGTCTAGTTTAATGAAGAGAAGGACTAGGGGTGACATGATAGCAGTGTTGGAATATCTCAGAGGTGGCCACAAAGAAGAGGGAGTCAAGCTATTCTCCAAAGCACCTGAAGGCAGGACAAGAAGCAATGGATGGAAACTAATCAAAGAGAGAAGCAACCTAGAGAAATTTTCTCACTGTTAGAACAATTAATCAGTGGAACAACCTGCCTCCAGAAGCTGTGAATGCTCCAACACTGGAAGTGTTTAAAAAGAGACTGGACAACCATTTGTCTGAAATGGTATAGGATTTTCTGCCTGAGCAGGGGGTTGGACTAGAAGACCTCCAATGTCCCTTCCAACTCGATGATGATGGTGGTGGTGGTGGTGGTGGTGGTGGTGGTGGTGGTGGTGGTTGTTTATCTGTGTCCTCAAGGTCACCTGAGTAGTGCAAATGTATGGAGCCTTCTTGGCTGCAGGATGTTTTCTGCCCTTTACTGTTGAAGACAGGCATAGGCTGTTGGGGATGAGTCTGTGTTGTCTGCATCTTGGATGAGAAAGCTCCACACACATGGCCTCAACGACTCTCTAAAACAATGCAAATAACCAGCTGTCTGCAAGGAATATAAATCCTTCCATTTCCCAACATCCAATCAGAGCTGAAGAAGCTTTTTGGATGGGAAGCGCAATGTCCTCAAAGAAAAACAAACAAGTCCAATTGCCTCCTGAAAAAGCACCTTTGGGATTGACATCAGGATAATATATTGAAGGTTGTGTTCTACACAGGTAGTCCTTGACTTATCAACAGTTCATATAGTGACCATTCAAAGTTACAATGGCACTGAAAAAGTTGGTCGACATGATTATTTTTCACACTTATGACTGTTGCAGCATCCCCATGGTTACATGATCAAAATTCAGATGCTTGACAACTGACTCATATTTATGATGGTTGCAGTGTCCTGGAGTCATATGATTACTTTTTAAGACTTTCTGACAAGCAAAGGCAATGGGGAAGACAGATTCACTTAACAACTGTGTTGCTAATTTAACAATTGCAGTGATTGAACAACTGTGGCAAGAAAGATCATAAAATGGGGGCAAAACTCATTTAACAACTGTCTCACTTAGCAATAGAAATTTTGAGCTCAATTATGGTTGTAAGTTGAGGATGTAAATTTTTTAGATGTAGAAGATTCTAAGAAGTACCTGCTAGAACTACGATTGCATTTCATTTTCTCTCTTTCCTCTTTCCCCTTTTTTGCTTTTTGCTTAAATGCATGAGGAAAAATTAATAAACAAAATAAGAAAAAGATGTTGAATTTAAGAATTTTCAAAATATTAAATCATATAGTTCAGGAAGATGGTAACTACAATTGTATATAAATTGTAATTTTTCAAAAAGAGCAAAAATATTTGAACATCACAAATGAAGGCAAATTTGATCAATCTCACATATTTGAACATGTCTATCATAAAAAGTGAGCTATGATTTGACTGCTTGGAAGTTCCCTTCCTATTCTTCCATTCAGTAATAATTCCAGGTATCCAAAATCCACAAGCCAGCTGAACCCATTGCAACTGAACCCTTCTTTTAATCATACATTGTGCATGAATACCTGCAAATCTCCAATGGTGGGGATATAGCCAAGGAAAGCATTTTTTATTGAACAGTCATATTGACAATTCCCTGAATCTCAAATTAAAATATGATTATGATAGAAAAAACTCCCAGTATGTTAATGTCACTGTTCCTGAATTGCTTTGCTAACAGAGACCTGTACACTTTCTTAAGCATTTCCTGAAGTGTTCAATAAATGCCATTTTATTATTAATCATATTTCAGACTCAAAATATATAGTGGTACCTCAGTTCTCATTCTTAGTTGGTTCCAGGAGGCGTGACGAGTACTAAAAAAGATGAGTACAAAACAAACCTTGTGACTAGGAAGGACTTTATATCTGTCCCTTTTTCTATGTCCGCAACCTTCCTAGCATGGTCGACTTCCTGTCCAGTCTCTGTAACACTCCCCCATTTCCTTTCATAGTGTGTTGAGTACCAAACAAATGATGGGTACTGGGGCAACATTTTTGCATCAAAATGTGTTGAGTACCAAATTCGACAAATTTTGAAGTAGTCGAGTACTGAGGTACCACTGTATTTCATAGCAAAAATATTGTGTGTGAGTGCGTACGACCCCAATTGGATGTCAACTCTACAACGAACCTAGCTGCAGCCATTTTGCTCATTCTAGGTTGCCACAAGAATGGGAGGGGGGTGCAGAGGATTTCTACTAGTCTAAAGATTTTACTGTCCCGTGGGAACCAGAGTCATTTATGTCTGTTAGATGGGGGGACATGAGCGTTTGGTTAGAAAGCCTGCCAAATTCTTCTATTGGGGAACCTAGCTGCTTGAATAGTTTTGGGGTGAGATATTCAACTTTGTATTATTGTCTTTCTTTGAAGGGAATTTTAGACTTGGTTTCACTTTTCACCATGCTGATACTATGTAACCAATAAACATGTTCTTTGAGGAAATTTCAAGCCTCAGAGTTCTGATTTGTTTGGTCTTGTCTATTGGAACCTTGACATTAAACCAAGTCCCATTCAAAATGCTCTCTTTCTTGGGGTGCTGAGCCCTGGCTGCCTACCCACCACTTTGGGAGGACAGTGAAGACTCAGTGAACATCTATGGAGGAAAAAGAGGAGTCCACTGCTGGTTGCAGCAGAGATTCAGCCATCGGAGAGCAAGCAGCTGCTCTGGCCACCAAAGAGGGTCTGATGACGGGGGCCCGCCCAAAAAGCAAGATAATCCAGCCAGGGAAGTTGATGTCTCAAGAAGGAACCACCATCCTGGTGGACCTCTACCAATCGGAACTGATCCCTCAGCATAGAAGTAAGCCTGCCGAAGAGGAGCTGTTGTTAATTCCGCTCCAGGGACCATCTTCCGCAGTGCAGAAGAAATGGAAGGGATCGACTGGATGGGACAACTCTGCTGACTGGAAGTACCAGACTGCAATTCACAGTCCTTCAGTTGAACAGCTAAAGGAGAAATTTGACCGGCTGGAAGTCAACAAAGGGATTCCTACAGTCCAATGTGAGTGCACGAAGGGGGGTAAAGTGAAGACTTATCCATCGCTTCCACCCCCTCGCCAAAGTCCCAGTCCTGTTGCTGACACCCGTGCCACTTCACCCACTCCTCCATCAGCCGCAGGCTCAAGCTCTCAATCCCAGCAAAATCCTTTGCAGCAGCTTCGCTCTGCGAGCCCGGGTGCCCAGCAGAGAGGATTCTGGAGGGTGATATGACCTCTTCCTAAAGCAAGTGAGGGCTCATATGGATCGTTATGCCCACACTTATTCTGACGATGCCACAATAGTAAATGCAGTGACAGCCAACATGGAAGGGGAAGCAGTGGAGTGGGTGACCACCCTTCATGATGAAGGGACTCCGGAGTTGTTGGATGCGAATTTATTCATGGAACAGCTGAGAGTCAGATTTGAGGATGAATCTCAAGCTCTGCAAGCAGAGAAGGAGATAGATCACTTGAGGCAGCGAGGTCGCCCAGCAAAAGAATATGTCCGAGAGTTCTGGAGAGTTGCTGGTCGCCTGGGACAGTGGACAGAGTGGTCCCTGATCCACTATTTCAAGCAAGGGCTGGACTGTGACCTGCTCCAAGTATGCATCTACCAAGGGATTCTGAAC